ATGGGACCCTGGGTGGGCTTCTTTATTCCTCTGTGTTCCAGGTCCCTATTTATGAAACTTGGATGACTTCTGCGTCACAGAGTTGATGCGAATATTGCCGGAGGAAACATTAATTGGCCCATTACAGGCACACTCAAGTGCTGGTTCTTTCTGTTGTTGTTTCGTTTACATACAATAATGGTTAGCTCCCAGGGACTAGAATGTTTGCTATTTGCTAGATCAGTGCCCTTTAACCTGAATTCCAGTTTCCTTGGCTTTTCAAGTTGCTCTAGTCCTTTCCCCAAATTTGAATGCACTAGAGCAGGGGTCATCCCTTTTTTCTGTAAAGAGCCAAGTTGGAAATATTTTTATATTTTTGATCACCTCTACTGTCAAAGTATTCAAATGTCAGAGGGCTCTATAGTCAGTCAGATTCAACTCTGCCTGCCATTGTAATGTGAAAATAGCCACAGATAATATGTAAACAAATGTCTGTGTCTGTGTTCCAATAAAACTTTATTTACAAAAAGCAAACAGCTGGACCAGGGTCAATAGTTTGCCAACATTCAAACTTGGCTATGCGCTATCTTATCTACATCAGAACCCCCTTGACGAAATGTACATTTTTAGGCCCTCCGAAAGACTAGAATAGTCAGGATCTTTTTGGAGTGGGGCTTGGGCTTCTGCATTATTATCCCCAACTCTACTTTGAAAAAAAAAAGTATTAAACATATGAATAATTTGAAAGACTTCTACAACGAATCCCCATTTATCTTTCACTAGATTCACTTATTGTTAATTTTGCCACATTTTCATCATAGATCTCTTTCTCTTTCTCTTTTTCTCTCTCTGTATCTGAAAGTCAGTTGATACTTTGCCACATTTTCTTGGTAATTCTTCTCTTCTCTCCATTTGAAAGTCAGTTAAAGACATCATTTCACCCCTAAGCACATCAGTACGTATCTTCTAAGAAGAAATACTTTCTATAACAATAATATTATCTCACCTAAGGAACTTAATTAACATGGGTGCAGTTATATTATCAAATATACAGTCTGTATTTAAACGTCTTCAACGGCCACAAAAAAATGTCCTGGTAGTTTTTCTTTGATGATCAAATCCAAGATCTTGCATTTTATTTGGTTTTCATGTCACTTTAGCTTCCTTTCTTTTAGAAAATTCCACCCTATTTTTTGTCTTCTGTGACTTGGCATTTTTGAGGAGCCCAAGCCACTTGTTTTATAGAACCCCTGCCATCTGGATCTGCCTGTTTCCCCACGTCTAGATATTTAGATGGTTGATTGGATCAAGCATCTATGTGGTGATCTGTGCACCTTTACTGAAATATACTCTAAGGACAAAATGAACTGCAAAGAAATCTTGAACTTACTAAGTAGGTTTGTTGTTGGTACTGCTATCCGAATAGTAATAATAATTCTGAAACATCTTCTTTCTATATTGCAGGACACACCAAAATAAATAAATACATTGACATTTATGAAAACCAGATTTCTCACATATTGGGAGACACAAATATGGAATAAGGAAAAGTAAGGAAGTACCTTATGGTATAGGGTTTGAAATGAGAATATGAGTATAAACTCTATTTACTTATTCTATAAACAAGAACACCTAGTCCCCAGATCTCGGTTTTGAAAAAACATTTCAAATGGAAAGAAACCAGGGCTCCTTATGGAATGGCTGATCCCAGGAGCTGGGCAGATAAAATGCAGGTTGATCCTGGAACAGCTTGTTATGTCAGAAAGTAAAAAAAAAAAAAAAGAGAGAGAGAGAAGAAAAGAAGAAAGAAAAGAAAAATGCTTAAAGACAATGGGACCTGTTGAAAGAATACAGGAGTCAGCTTGAGGAGGCTCATACTGCCCAAACTGGGTATATTTAAGAAGACAAAAGAAAGATAACAATGAATTATAGCATGTTAGATAAGAATCTATGTCATAGTGAAATTAAAAATCAATAGCAACAAAAATAACTGTATATAGAAGAAGGTTCCTCACTGCGAATGTACGCCTGCTAATAAATGTGGAAAGAATGATTGAATTCAATATCTGCCTTTTTAACATGTTTCCCAGGTGGTTCCAATTTCCTCCAACCTTTGGGAACACGACTAGGTGTTCTGTTGAAACTGTTCTATTTTATAATAGTCATGAACTCTTAAACCTAGGCCCAGCCCTGGAGAAACTAATACTTAACAGAAATATATGAAAAATTAAAATTCTAGTCTATCTGCAACAATTTAAAATGCTTCTGAAACAGTTTTTTTCTTGCTCTTTAACATATCAGTCATCCTGACTGCTCCTGAAACCTGCCTTTCTATTCTAGCCTGGTCCTGGGAGAACTCCCTCCTGCTAACTTCCGCCACAGTCCCCCGCCCCTGCGATGCAAAGTCTTTACACCCATGGACATGGGAGAAGGACGCAGCTGCTTGGGACTGCCTCCAGGCTCAGCCTCTTGCTTGCTCTAGTTTTTTGTCCCTTCACCAGGCAGACCACAGCTTTCAACTGCCAACTTGGAGTTTAGTCCAGGGGATACTGCATGTAAATACAGTGCCTTGTGATGCCTCAGAGGGCTTGAATTTTCATTTCAGAAGTAGGGCAGTAGCCCTTTGCCTTTAAATACGTCTTCTGCCTCTGGGCTTCCAAGTTTGGCAGTTAATTGGGGCTATTTTTGTAAAGTTCTAGTTTAATTATGCAGAGAAGCAATTCAAAAGTTAGCATATAGTTATTAATTTCTCTCCCCATAATCACTTTTCCTTTGCTCCCATATTCAAATCGATGGCTAGACCCTATCAATTCCACTTTAAATATTTTTCCAGCATCATCCTTTGACTTTTCACTTCCTTGCTATCATATTTTAAAGTTGTGTATGGAAGAATCTTTGATTTCTTATTCCTCTTCACTTTTGCCCCAGAATATCTTCTATATCTACTTAGGTGAAATTGCTAAAATTTGTAGTATGTGGTGGGCTGTATCTTACCTACTAGGATTTCAAAGAGCCATTTTGTTCAACATGTCTTTCATAAGGGACCTCACCTATTATTCCACAGTTAAAAAAAAAAGAATCAAAGATATAAAATCCCTTAGGAGAAGTGACTTACATTTTTATCATATATATTACAAGACTGGATAAGGTTTGTTTCAGCAGCAGTATTTATGGAGAATGGGTGGAATTCAATAAGAAAAGGTGGAGGATAAACATCTAACTACTTCACAGTTCTGCCTTGGGCTAGCCCTGCTCCCAAAAAAGTCACCACTACAACATTCTAAACACAGTGAGCAATCAAGTAACTCACCTGACTGGCTGGCTGGCTGAGAGTCTGGGCGGTGGTCTGTGGAGTTAACCAAGGATCCACCCAGCTGAATACCAGCTGTAAGCAATAGAGGGCGTTGGTCAATCCACTTGAATCTGATGCTGTACCTACAAGCCTACCGGGGCACAGCAGAGAAGAAAGAATCTGCTCAGCCTTCTGTTCATGTGTCATCCCCAGTCTCGGCGCTTCATCTTTAAAATAAGAATCACTAACCCACAATTATGACTTGGAATCTGGAATCTGGCTACTTCCCCATTCATTTCACACTCAGTACTGCAGCCGCCTCGGTCTCCCCACATACTCTTTGTGTATGTGTCTGTCTTCCTGTCTTAAATATCTTGCATCCTTGGGTGGGCCCGCCCCTGGGCCCGCCCCCCCCCCCACCTCCCTCAGATCTTTACTAGCATCGTCGGTACTCAGTAAGCATTTAGTCAACATGGATTTACACGGGTGGGCCTCACCTTAGGAGTTCTGCATTTTAAGCTCCCCTCCTGCTCCTCTCTCATTCTGTTCTCTTTCATCCCCCCAGATATCAAGGAGCATTCCACTTCCTCTTCACCATTTACCTTGTATCCAAACTCCATCCTGTAACTGGATAAGTCCTCCTAAAGATGTTTCATCTGCTCTTTAGGAAACAGTGTCAAAAGTACAATGATCGTATTTTCCAAACATAAACACTGGAGCATGTGTTCTAACCAGTAAAAATTTGCTCAGTCAGTATTAGGAAGTAATATAATCTTTGGTTATCTGTGGGGGATTGGTTCCAGGACCCCCACGGACACCAAAATCCACAGATGCTTGAGTCACTTACATAAAATAGCATTGGGCGGCAAGTATCCACAGATTCCACGTGTGTGGATTTAACCAACTGCCACTATAGAGGGCTGGCTGTATCTGAAATTGAATCTCAGACAGTCACTGACTCACAGAGGCTCTCCTTACCAGTGGCCACCCCCAGAGGTCCCCGGCTCTAGTCACTCTAGACCTGATTGCTCTGTTTTATTTTCTTTCTGGCATTTACTTCTCCAAGTAAGTATCTTAGGTTTGCAGTCTTGCCAGATCTCCACCCTACGGCCCACCACAACGGAATGTCATAGGGCACATCTTGTCCTTCGTCTGCTCCCATATCACAGCACCCAGGACAGTGCCTGGGACCTGACTTTGTGGAATGAGTGATGACCACTGCCCCTCTGCCACATGCTGCTGCTGCTCCATCATTATCCTCCTCTCTGTGGAGCTAAAGATTTTGTGACCTGCTGTTGCAAGTCTAAGTCCACCCAAACATCTGTAGGCAAAGAGGCACACACAGGCAGATTCCTCTTTTGGCTGGGCCGAAACGGAAGCCAAAAGTTTAGGACAGAAGAAGGAAACAGAACAGGAGACAGAACTAAAGTAAAAGAAATCCGTTTAAAAAAAAGAAGGGGACTTCAGGTGTGACTTCTGGAATGCTCAAGTTGGACTGGTAGTCATGACACCCCAGGTGTGGTGGCCCTGGATCTTTCACGGCTTTACTCTGAGCTTCCAATGCTACACTCATAAAATGAGGAGGCTAGAAGGCTTTTCAGAGCTGTCTAGTGACCATTCTTCAAAAGGGGAAACCCAAGAGAATATAATCTGTCCTAACTGTAAATAGTACAGGTCTACAGTGCAGCCGTCCCATCCAGAACTAAGGAGTGAGGTAAATAAAGCTCACCTTTCAGAGTCAGCATTTCCAATCACAGGTCAGACATGCAGAGCTGTCTAAGGGAGCAGACAAGGCTTCCAGGCCAGGGAGACCACAAGCCTTCAGTTTCAACCTGAAAACAAGTCTAAAGAAAAGAATGTGTCAATTAGGGGAGGACAGGGTGTCCTCTAACCTTGGAAAGAAGGAGAGGCCAGAGAAATAATGGCTGGCTGCATCCTTCTAAAGCTCTCTAGGGGAAGGGTCCTTACCCTCCGTTCTTCCTTCTCAACCGAAAGGCTGGCCTCTGTGCGAGATGAACACTGTAGCTAAAAGGTCCTGAGCATTTTTAGGAGTCCAGATTTTTTACAGCTGGGTTCGTATCCTGACTCTGCCGTTTATTAGCTACATGATCAGGGTAAGTTTTTAAACCTGTATCTCCAGTTTTCTACCTGTGAAACAGGAGTGATAAAAAGTTACGTATCCCCAAGAATTACTGGGAGGATTAAGTTAGTACTCGTAAAGCACTTAGCATAGGAGCTGTTATTCTAATTCCATTGGCAAACCCGTTTCTGGCTAACATGCATGCCTCAGGCCTAATATTACTGGATATTTGTCTCTCTTCCTTCTGACTCCACTTTCAACGAGCAACCTGCTCCTTCCCATGTAGGTTAGCTTACCCGGAAAAAATGTGCTTATCACAGAGATTCTGAGAAATTCCAATTCCAGAGCCTGCGATTTCTTATGGCAAATCAATAAATTATTTCTAGTTATGCCTGGGCCTCTGACATTGCTTGACCACAGAGGCAAGATACAGGTGTGATGTGAATGGAGGATTTCAGTCCGGGACAGATCTGTTTTGATTTCTAAATCATCACACTGGCGTTCTGTTGCCTATCTCCACCTCTGTGCGATGGGGTCAGAATGCAGATACTCGGGCTCTGGTTTTCCTGAAGAGTATTAAGCGTGAGTCCTCAGGCTCCAAAGCAGAAGACAGCCCCAGCTGGCTTTCCCACCCAGCAGTGGTGCTGCTCATATCAGCTTGCAGTCTGATCCTGGTGCTGCTGTCCCCGCCGTGGGTGTCTTCATGTGACAGAATTAAGAGTTTTTTGAACCCTGGTGAGTTAGAAATACAGGAAATAAGGATGCTTATGAACAGAAGTACTATTCCAAGTGTTCCCCCTTGACCTACCTGCAGTCACTTCCCTTCCTCAAAAAAAAAAAAAAAAAAAAAAGAAAGAAAGAAAAAGAAAAGGAGAGTCCAAATGTTTTCATTTCATTCTGGTACCCTGCCTGGAATACCAGCCACACTATGGGGATTGGTCTGGGTTTTTAAATATTCTCAGTTAAAAGTGTGAGTTATTCTGGAAGGGTTGGAGAACTTTCAGTGATGATACACATCAGTGGGAACGTGTTCAATAACATTTCTTTCCTTCTGACACCTTGCTGGGTTAAGTTTACCTTTCGGAATTCTTAGCTTTGTGAATTTTGTTTTATTTTGTTCTGTTTCTGGAGAGAAGGCAAAGAGAGGTGGGAAAGGGAAGTAGATGAGAACTGTGAAACACTTTCAGAGCTCCGTGAGACCTGCATAGGGTCGGGGAGAACTTGAGAAGTTTAAGGACCAGAAGATTTCAGGTTTATTAAAGATACAGGTTAAGTTGGCATTACCCGATTGGCCTAGGAAGGTAACCAATGATTATAATGTTGTTTCCCAGGGAAAAACAGAGCTTGAGCTCCAAATAAGTCACTGGTAAAGGAACTTTTGAGATACAATTCATTGCACCTGGCTTCTTAAGTGCTGCACTTTCTATATTGGATCTTGGGAAGGAGAAAGCCCCCGAAAGCATTTGGTGTGGCACTGGGGTTAAAAAAAAAGATAGGTCAGAAGCAGAGAGTATATAATGTGTTAGAGCTCAAAGAACATTTGTCCCTGGGGTCTGGGGCAGGCAGTGACCTGCTACAAACCCCAGCCAGCAGAGCCACCTCTCCAGACACCGGGCAGAAAGAAGCCCTGCATTTAGACAGAGGAAGTTTCTCCCGCACTGGGTATGCTGACGTTTCATTCAGGGTTCTTGGGACAGCCCTCCTTCGGGACTCTAGGAAACCCAGAGCCTCCGTCTGAGTCTACCTGAGAGTCCTTGCGGAAAGGAGAGACAGGTAAGAACTCGGCAGCAGAAGCCAAGACTTGGCTGGAGGAAGCCAGAGTGAGGAGGCTTGCATCTAGATATACAACAGGGTTGGGGGTTAGGACTCAGGGACGGTTTAACACAGGGTGTGGAAGGGAAGGGGGCTTGGGTGTATCCAGAGGGGAGACCAAGGCAGGACACGCAGACCGCGCCAAGGTGCCGTGCGGGCTCCGGCGCAGAAGGGCGAGAGGAGAGAGGGCTGGGGCGGGGTGGAGAGCGAAGCTGTCCCTGCGGCGACGTGCGCCCGGAGGAGGGAGGCGGGGAGGGTCTGGGCGGGCGCGCGGCGTGTGACCGCCGAGGCTGCGGCGGCTGGAACAGGTGAGCGGCAGCCCGGCGGCGGCGGCGGCGGCGGGTCCCCGCCCTTCCCCGGGAGCGGCGCTCCCCCTCGACCCTCCCCCGCGCTTATCCGTTCCGCGGCTTCCCCTGGGTTTGGGGTTTTGCAACCGGCAGCTGGCTGTTTTATTTTCCCCCACCCCTGTTTCTGTCTCTCCTTCTTCTTTTAGGTTGCTCCACCCCGGCCAGGATCAGGCCAGGGGAACCGGCCTGACTGCGGCTGCCAACTCGCGCCGGGCGCGTCGGCGGACTCCCGGCGTGGAGTCCCGCGTCCCGCCTTCTCCCTGCGGGGCGCGCTCTCCCCGCTCCCCCTACAACCCTTCCCCACTTTTCCCCCTTTTGCAATCACATGGCATTTTAAGAATGCCGGAAAGATGGCGGTAGCGGCGGCGGCGGCAGCGGCGGCGGGGCCGGCCGGCGGCGGAGGCGGCCGGGCGCAGCGGAGCGGGCTGCTGGAAGTTTTGGTGCGGGATCGCTGGCACAAAGTTCTGGTGAACTTGAGCGAGGACGCCCTGGTTCTGAGCTGTGAGGAGGGCGCTGCGGCGTCCAACGGCCTCGGGACCGCCACCAATGGCTCGGTTCTGCAGGGGCGCCGGCGGCGCGCAGCCCCCGGACTCGCCCGCCGGGGTCCGCACCGCCTTCACCGACCTGCCCGAGCAGGTGCCCGAGTCCATCTCGAACCAGAAGCGTGGCGTGAAGGTGCTGAAGCAGGAGCTGGGCGGGCTGGGCATCAGCATCAAGGGGGGCAAGGAGAACAAGATGCCCATCCTCATCAGCAAGATTTTCAAGGGGCTGGCGGCGGACCAGACCCAGGCCCTGTACGTGGGCGACGCCATCCTGTCAGTGAACGGGGCCGACCTGCGGGACGCCACCCACGACGAGGCGGTGCAGGCGCTGAAGCGCGCTGGCAAGGAAGTGCTGCTGGAAGGTGAGGGGTTAACGCCACGGGGGCCGCTCGGGAGACGCGCGCCTCCCCCCTCCCCTCCCGCCCGCGCGCCGTCACCCCCCAGGGAGTCGCCGTGCGCGGGTGGCGGAGTTTTGACAACTTTCACCCACCTGGGGGCAACTTGTCCCCACCTGAGAGTCGTCCCAGGCGTTGACCCAGCGAGGGTGCAGGAAAAGGCCAGGCGAGCGGGGTCTGAGCTCCCTCCCTGTGCCGAGCACGGGGTCGCGTGCGTGGTGCACGTTGCCTCGCAATCCGCGCAAAATCCGAGAGCAGCGTAGGGGCTGGGAAGTGGGACCGGGGATGAGGCGGATACGTCCACGTTCCCAAGCCAGCTCACTGAGTAATCACAACTCGGACAGTTTTCTGCTTTGGCACAGTTTTCTCCTCGGAAGCCCGGGCAGCTCAGCTAAAAGGGTTGACTCTCAAAAGGGGCCAGAGAGGGGTGGCAATACGTGAAAGCTGAAACTCCCAGCACTTTTCCCGACTTCCCTCCTTTCAAACTGGAGACCGAGCTTCTGGCTGGAAAACTGTGCCAAGGGCTGGCAAGAGTGTTGCAGCTCCATGCTAAAGTTTACTTCTGCTGCCAGGTGTTTGGCCGGTCAGTCTGGATTCCAGGTTGCTCTGGGTGGAGGGCTGGGGAAGTGGTTTTTCTGCCTGCATTTCCCGGGTTATTTTTTTACTTTCCCCGAGTGGTGTGGAAACAACTTTGCATTTGTAAACAGTTGACCCTGCGTGTGAGGTGTCTAAGAAACGACTCTCTCATGTCCCCAACCCCTCACTTACCGGATGTGGATGTAACTAGAATAGGCAGCATCGTGTTGAACCCTTTTGTGGTTGTGTGGCGTTAAGCCTGCCCGGGGAGGAGGGCAGTAGAGGAGTAAGGCCGTAATTCATTCTCCTTTCCCACCACAGCTTCATTTTCTCTCTTGATACTTGCCTCTCTGCCCCTTAGCTCACTTTGTACCTGCCTCTGAAAGCACTAATATTGTGTAATTATTTCATCTATTTATCCACCACCACCCCCGCACCCCACACTGTAGACTGAGTCGTCTGGGGTCTTTCACTTAGTTATGGGCCATCTCCTTTGAGCCCAGTGACAAGAATGATGAGTAAATGAGTAAATGAATCCATGGCCATTGAAACAGAAATGTTTCAACTGAGACTTTGTAAACTGGTGGTTGATTGAAGTCCTAAACTAAGGATTTAGGTAAATTTCTTGCTCACCGATTGTGAGCTGGTGCTGGTGTGTGAAGCTGAGTGAGTTCAAAGTTGGAAAACCAACTCTGTTCTGTGTGACAGCTGATGCAACCCTCTGGTGCATGATGGCCCACCTCCTGGCCTAGAACACAGAAGGGATTTTTCCCTCCTTGTTTATCTAGAGGATTTGTGATGTCTTCATATTTAACTGCTGCCTGGGATTCAGAAAATGAAAGGCTATTTGCTTTGGCTTGATGATTAACATAAGTAAACAGAAAAAAAGAGTTTTCTTGATTCAAGTGTGTGTTGGCTTGTGTGACAAGAGGCAGGTGGGATCTGCGGCAAGTGCAGTTTGGACTATAAACGACTGGACACCTGCTCAGTTTGCAATATTGACTGCAGCATAGCGGGGGCACAAAAGGCAGGTCATTTCTATTTCAGGCACTGCCCTTCATTATGTCACTTCTCCTAAGTTTCAGTTTAATGAACGACTTAGCAAAGGGGTTAAAAAAAAAACTGTCTCACCCCAAAAGAGGAAGAAATTGTGACTCCCTACAGTTAAAAGTAAACTTAGACAAAGAAAAAAAAAGAATCAAGCAGTTGTCTGACTTTATTGGTGCAGCAACTGAACAGTGTGTTTTGTAAAATGTCTCAACGTGGCATTCTTACAATGGATTGTCATGTGTTCTAGGCAGGATTTCCAGGGAAAGATCTGTGGGCCTCTTAGACATGAACCACCTGAGCTTGGGGCAGCAGTCTTATTCTCCATCTGAGTTTTCAGAAATCCACTGCTATTAAGAGAAGCAAGTAGAGGTCCCTCTCAAAGCAGCGTCTCTTCTGATGAGTATTGGGTCTAAATGTGGTGGGAGTGATCGTGGATCATCAAACCAAATAGCACACATCCTCTTTTTTGTAGTTGCCCTAGGACAGGGATTCCTAGCTGAAAGGAATTAGCAGAACCACCAGAAGGGCTTTTAAAAATCATCTATCTACTTGCCCCTGGACTTAAGTGCCATCTTAATTCCGGAATCTCTACAGAGGAAAAGCTTTGCAGATGTAATCTAGTTGGACGAGAGAGCTAAGGGGGACGTATTAAAGGTATATTTATATGGCAAATACACTGTTAGTTTGTTTACTTAGATTGCCTTTTGGGTGGGTTGTTTTTTGAGATAGCGGATGGAAACTAGTCTCAACCTCTGGCAGTGCACACCCCCATTAAATGACATGCGCCCCCTAGTGGAGAGTGACTGCCTCTACTATTGGAGCATCATGAGAAGTGAAACCCCCGCACAGCGAATTTCAATGCCTATAATTCTAGACTTAAATTTTGCCCCAGAGGGATCTTAACATCTCTGAGTCTCACTGTCTTCTGAAAAATGAGAATAAAGAAATGCTAACTTACGACATTGCTATATGGAAAGGGCACTCAATTTTAAAAAAGGAGGTGGCCAAGTATCAAATGCCTGCTGTGATTAGTTACTTTTATAGTTTAAATGAAATAAAGATGGTTTTGCCCTTTCTAAGGAATACATGTTTCCTCTTCCTTTACTGGAGTTTATATTTTAATTTTTATTCTTTCTTTGTGCTATAGAACTGCAATATTACCAGACGATTCCTCTGGGAAAAGAGAATCACAGCAATAGCTAACATTTCATGAGCACTTAGTAAGTGCCACGCTTTACCTACACTTGTTCGTGTTACACTTCTGGTAACTCCATGAGGCTAGTGCTACTGTTGTTCATTTTATTGATGAGAAACGAAAGTTTACAGACAGCAGGTTATTTACTTAGAGTAGCAGAATTAGAAGGCATCCAGGTCTATCAGAATTTTAAAAGCTTGAGGTGGAATTGATGCTTCCAGCTTCTGCTTCAAAGAGGTGCTTGAATCAGTTGAAGCTTCATCAGTTATTGGGCTTAAGATGTTCTTCCCCTGACTCCTTGAATATGCTGATGTGCTTGGGACAGCCATGAGCAGCAAAGGGCAATTGTGTGGGCTCCTTAAAGGGGAGACACCAGAAAGAGGATTGAGTCTCAAAGCCCTAATCCCCAACTGTCTGGCTATTGAGAGAGAGCTGGTGTGATATGGCCCAAATTTACAATGTGATGGGGCCTCCATCATTGAAAACATGACCAGCAAATAGATTAAACTGCAATTCAAACCTAGAGAGTGAATAAACTATGCCAGTCAAGTCAGGGTTAAACCAAAAGTGCATCAAAGTTAAGATCAGAGATCTTCACACTGTGAATTCATTTCCCATTTTAGAGAGTTGAGAACAGGGCCCTGTGTTCAGCCATGCAGGTACTGAGCCCTGAAACTCCAGGGGTGCGCTGCCTGGACTTGGGCAGGAGACATCTGCGTAAACATCTTTGGCAGCTTTAGGTACAAAAGTGGGGATGAGGGGAAGCATTTTTTGCCCTTATATTAATAGTAAAAACATAATTTGGATTGTATCAACCTGTTTGTAACTGAAGCTGCAATAAAATTAGTTTCTTCATAAATTTGTTGCCATCAAAGAGTGCAGAATGTTCTGAAAGTGGAGATGAGGGGTGGACAGAATTATCCTTGGGCACAAAGGTGTCCTATGGAACTGGAATAGAAAATTGGAAACTGAAAGGAGGAAGTCAGAGACAGTTGTTGACGTTAACCCTGTCCATCAAAGCTGCTGCCTCAGTACCGCTCCCAGGAACGCTTGGCTGTTGAGATCACCTAAAATGTCCCTTTCATAATCACTTTCTCTGGTGGTGGAAGTGGGGATGGCAGGGCAGGAAGATGGGGTGCAAGGGAAGGACAGTGATTTTGCTGGCATACAATTTCAGGATTGGATGAGGAACTTGAATTTCAAAGAATCTTACTTTATTTAGGATGTGCAGATTCTTAAGGAATACCCAAGAACCCTGCAATTAGAGTCTTGAAACTTGAGTTTTCTTTGAACTAATAGTTATACTGTTTGCAAGCTACTTTATCTCTTTGGACCTTGATTTTCTTCATTGGAAAGCTAGGGAGCTGGGTTAAGCCATCTCTAACCCTTATTTCACTTCAAATCATATAAATTCAGACCCAACACACTTTTGATAACAACTCTAACACCCTTTTTATTGTCATGGAATGAATTTCATAAATATAACCTAACTCTAAATTAAAAAAAATCAATATAATGCTCTATTATTTTATAATTATTGACATTAAGAAAATACAGAAATGAGGTAAATTATAAAAAATATGTTTCAATAAATAAATGCATGGTACCAGTACACAGGGATCGTAATGAAGGAGGGAGATTCGTGTACCTGTGTGTAAAATCACCATCAATGCACAAATGAAGATGGGTCGGGGTGTGTGGTATCATTTGGGATCTGGAAGAATCTTGCACTATGAAGGACTGTCTCAGATGTTGCAGGATGTCTTGGATCCCTGGCTTCTATCACTAAATGCTAGCATTATGCCACCACGAGCCACCTTGACTTCTAAAATACCTCTATAAATTTATGAACTGCTATTGGGGAAGGGCAGGAACCACCCTCGTGAAAACCAGTGTTGTATAAAAATGCTAATTCTACTTTACCTTTCATAATACTTGTAATTTTGCAAACTCTTTACATGTGTGATAGTAGCTAACTTGTACTTGTGTGATTCTTACATCGAACTAGATGCTGTTCTAAGCACTCTACATGGACTAAATCATTGGATTCTCACAATAACCCAGTACAATCAGTATGTCTATTTTACAGATGGAAAAACTGAGGCACCAATTGGTTAAGTCACTTGCCAAAGGAACACAGTGAATA